GGGGTATTTGGGCTTCTTGCTGCTGAATATAGCAGTGGTGGCAGCGGGCATTCCCTTCCTCCAGATCATTGGTAAGCAACACATTGACCGAACATGAATGAGGTGCCTGGCCATATTCAGAACGGTCGATCGCATCGACAAATAAGCTCTAACTTGTAAGCAAAACGACTAACTCCCCGCGATTAGGGTTGCTGAGGTTTCGAACTAGTTTGCCATTCATTTAGTAGTCTTTCAAAACCAACCCCTTTGGGTGAAGCCGGGCTCTTAAAAAGTTTACGGACATGCGCAACAACTAGATAATACGGACTTCGGCCGCAGCCCAGAACTCCAGCGTCCTCGCTACAAGTTGGGTAGTCTTTACGTGTCTGGAAATTATCATGACTGCTGCCTGGCTACTAACTTGGGTCAGTAATACTCGAGCTCGCCAGGCACGAAGTGGTAGAAATCTATCAGATGCTGCTGAGGCGGGCCGCCTCGCACGCTTTGCAGATGAGAAACATCATCTTCTGGCTATGGTGTTACGAGACGTATCTGCCGTTGCTGATTGGCAACGTAGGAAGGGGGATATTCCTATTACTCATCATATATTTTGCGCACCTCGACCCGCTCTAGAGCAGGGCAGATATTCGAGTAGTGATTCTTAGGTCTCGTCCAAACAGGAGATGATCGCCTGTCAATCATTACCTTTATCTGAGTCCACTCTGGTTATCTGCGATAGTATGACAACTTATGATCCGAAATACGACTCTACAACGAACATTAATAAGGGTGATAAACTAAATGTCACACCTACTGCAACACAATCTCCGATAGAGCTGAGCTTTTGACCTGAGGATTTAAAAACATCGGTTTGGACGGAGGAGGTCATGGTGGCACTGAGTACGTAGGTGACTATTGAAATTCTCTTCCGAAGACGCCCATTGAAGCCTATCAATGTATATTGCGGGAATGAAACATTGATTGCCGAGAAATATATTCCAGAACAACCAGAGTCATACTATATCTACCTCAAGGCAGATTCAACAAGACTTTCAACAACCTCTTGTAGTTTGGTGAACCAAGACCGCTCGCTGGATCCCAACCTTCGACAGCACTAAATCCACTAGTGCCACAGCCAGGATTGTCTCCCTCAACGATGTCATCGAAGATCTCTGGATGCTCGTATAGCACAGGGTTGATAAAGCCCACGGGACCTTTTCCGGCCTTGATACGTTCGCCATTGATGAGGGTGATCATAGATCCAAATGTAGGGGAGGCCGCGGATGTGCCGGTGAATGCTAGAAATCCGCCATCGATGCCGGTGACGTAGTTCTGAGAAGCCACAGCAATGTCTGGGAAGCCTCTTGCCTTTTGCGTATTATTGAACTGAGTTGAGTTGTAAGTGGTCGGGTGCTCCTTGAACCATTTCTTCACAGTTGCTGCTTGATAGGACGGCATTTCAAAGTCATTACTAAATCCACCACCAGGGGCGAATTCCCAGGCTACAGTCTCGCGGTCTTTAATGGTACCATTGGGAGGAAGGGCAGATCCGCCGACAGATGTGACCCAGGGGCATGAAGCAGGAAATACTAAAAGTGGTCAGTCGTGGTGATATCTGCGGATGGGCACATATATGAGACTCACAAGGATTGAATCTTCCATAACCTCCCCCGATAGGCGTCCAGGAGCCGTCCGGGTTGAGGCACCGTCCTTGGATACCAGCGACACCGGTATCTCCGGAGGAGTACATCACAGTGACACCCATCAGTCCAAGCTTCAAGTATTCAGTGCACTCACGAGCATTGTAACTTGTTGGGCGCGCACTCTCGGTCCGACCATAAGAAACAGAGATTACGTTTGTAGCATCATAGGTGCCGCACATTGGCTCTTCTGTGTAAGCTCCAACAGTAGTATTATCGTGAGGATAAATAGTGTCCCAAGTAGGGTCATCACCCCCCTCAAATGAACAATAGGAACCGTCAATGGCATCGAGGAAGTTGTTGTAAGTTGCTGGTTGCCAGAGCACGGCGTCACCAACCTGATACAGTGTGACATTCTGAGGATATACCAGACCGATTGCATAGCAGAGATCGAGATTGGACTCCCCGCGGGTATCAGTACCTTCTTCTGAAGATAGATAACCACCATCGATGCCATTGACGATAGGGGCAGTGTCATTCGGGATGTTGGTATATGTACTAAAGAAGCCGTTGAGATCTGTCTGATTATACGACTGAGGCGCGAACTCGACGATGCCATAGCTGTTACCCTCAACTGCCTCACCGTGTTTAGGGATGTCATATAGTGCTCGAAGACAGGCAGGAGTCGTCAGGGAGCTGCAGTTTGCGAGAAATTCGTGTTGACCATGACCATGACCCCAAGACGGAAACTTCTTGCCCTTGGGAGGAATAACGTCGCCTCTTAACACCGCGCTGGCGCACCGTAGCTCCTCTTTCATCAAATTCGATCGTGGGCGCAACAAGATCAATGTGCTTCTGGATATCCGCAGGAACGCTATAAGACTCGCATGCGACGAGCTCAAGTCCATCTTCGTTCTCGTACACGTTGTATATAGTATGAAGAAGACGCTCAGCCTCCCCAACGGTGGTCTTAACTTTGACCCAGTTGCGGCTGGCACTCTGGGAAATACGCTTGCTCTCCACCCCGGACTCTAGAAGCCACTCGACCGTCTCCAGTACTGTATCTTCAGATGGCGCAAACATCTCGACAACCTTTTGCGGGCTCCAAAAACGGCCATAGAACTCCGATTCAGGATGCGCTACTTCATTCATAAACTCATCTGCACGATGGAGGTTCTGCTGAGCCAAGCCAATGCGGAGATTGATAGGGATATCGGCGTTTGCGCGACCGGTAATTGTCCAGCCTTGAACAGCGCCATTCCGCTTCTCATGGACGACATGCGTATTGGCAGGACGCGCATTTGCGTTTCCAATGAGGGACAATGCCGTACTGGCAATAGAAGCGAATGTGGAAAACCTCATAATTCCGACTGTATATCCAACGAAAGGATTCACAATTACCGTCCCAGCTTCATGGCTTCCTGGTACAGAAGCTCACGATCTTATATCTTTTCTGCCATCATATGCGTAACGTGTGAAAACCGGCCGCATCTTTTGGCTGGTCGCCAATACCGTTCCCCAGAGAAGCTGGGAATCAATGACAGGGGTAAAATAGTGCTGACAGTGGCCAGGTGCGTTCTCGTATTGGGGTTCTATACCATGGCGCCACGCTGATTCATCGTAACTGGATCGACCTGACGACGGACTTACTCTAGAAGGACAGTCCCTGTTGATATTAGTTCCCCTGGCTACACCGCCAAATACTCGGCCGCGCATATCGCTAACCGATGATCTTCGTCACAGTATACATTGATGTCGACCTGTAGCACGAATCCCGGCCAAGTCCGTTGGGGGCGTAATACTTCTCCGCCAGCGTAACAAAGCTAATTACTCAAGAGTTACAGTATTAAATGACGATAGTAATGATACTTAGAAATGTCTCGGAAATTCTGACTGTTATGATAGCCTCACCTCTTTCTGTAGAAGTAGTAATCCCGCGTTGAAGCGGTTATCATATCCTTGCCGAACTAACATTTAGTACCTTGGGGGAGGAGGACTACCACTCCCGTGTAGCATCCAAGACTGCAATTGGCAGATCTGTGTAGAGGAGCGTTAAGCTTATTCGGTGTCTTTCTGATGTTGCATCAAGACTATTAATAGCTTAGCAGGTCGCCATCAATCTCTGAACGCCACGGCGCTTTAGCGGATTAACCGCAGTGTAACACCAGTGAGTAAGCCAGATGGCCGAGTGATTCTGTCCATAGACATCAATTTTGAAGCGTTCCTAGCATCTTTCATAGGCTTTTTTCAAGTATCAAAGCCGCACATGACCCCGGAACGTGGGTTGCGGTTCTGGCGCTCAGTCAGATCTTAGACACTTCGGAATTTAAACTCTGGCTCGCTGAAGGGAATACGACCTCCTTGTCATCGATTTCTACCCGTATGCCGGCATTGCTAATCGAGAAATTCGATACTTGAATTTGCAATATTCTCACACGATGACCATTTCCATGTAGAAACGTTGCATTGTCCCGCCACCCGTCGAATAGGAGTTTCTGCTTCCCCTGGCCGACCATATTCCATTTTAGGAAGTAATGATTGCCTGCATAGTAAAAAGCCTGTACCACAAGAGTATTGAGTGATCATGACCAAAGTGCTTCTGAAGAGACGTGCCATTTACTTGCACCATAACTCTCTATCATCCTCCCGCACTCCACCACTTCTTCAGCCCTGCCACATCACACCAAGTAAGCTCCGTTGGATTTTCGATCCACCACGTCGATCCTTTCCTCGGCTTTTCATTCCCATATTTCTTCAGACTGCCGCCATCAAAGCGATGGTTCTTGACTCCGAGGAGAAGGACCACGCTGCCAATTTGTGGAACAAACGTCTCAGGATCCAGGAACACTGTCAAGAGTACTTGTTTCCTGGTTGACGTATCAACAAGACGGGCGGTGCGCTGAGTGAAAGGTGGCAAGGTCGCGGCTTCTATGTCTGATAATGAAGCTATAACCGCTAGCACATTGATTGTCCAATTTTGCTTGTATGGAAGATTTGGTATGGACGCTAAGGGAGTAAGCTTCAATGGCTTTGTCAGGTCTTCTGAGATCCATGGAAGTGATGGAATAGCAGGATGTGCTCCTTGAAGTGAGCCTTGAGCCCCTTGGCTCTGCAAACGATGTTGATTTGTCTGATTTTCAGCTACTATTATCGTTCCGAAAGCATCATCGTCATCTATGTCGGAAAGATCTTCAACTTCAGGCTGTTCCAGGAAATCAGTCAGTATTCTGGAGCGTGGATCCTGCCGTGTCTCTGCGGCTATCTCAGAAGGTATAAAACGAATTTCTGGCTGTTGAATGTGGCGTGGCTCATCAAATTTAGCCAGGTCTCGAAAGGCAGTGTTCCATCCCACGACAGTCATCTCCCTCACGACTAGCAAAACCGTCGCCTTTGATTTCTTTGAGGCGTTCACACCACCTTTGGAATGTAGCCATTGCAGCTCAAAGCTATTGAGGCGAACATAGGACCCAATGTAGACCTGTTGGCTGTCGACGAGGTTGTGTAGTTCCCGCCGTACAAGGGCTTGTATGCAAAGGTCTCCATCACCCAGAAGCAATCGCACAGCACGATCGCGCTTGGAGGTGTGTATCGTGGCATCGACGCTTTCTACTAGCAGGATTGACCCTGGGATGCAGAAATGCGTGCGCAGAATGTCTGAGATCAACGGTTTAAGTGTAGGCAGTTTCGCGGGGTCGGCCGCCACAGTTACGTGGGTGGCCGGCGATGCATGGGCAGGGTACATGGATTGTGGATGTTATCACCTGCAGGCATCATGATTCTGGATTGACGGGGGTTGAGTTCGGAAGATACAAGAACAAGTCTTCCAGTTTCTTTAGAAGTTTTTAAAATCTTGCCAGCTTGCTTTCATCAAGTCATCCAATCGTTAGAATTCACTAAAGTGGTAAGTGGGACGAGACATTCCGTGGACAAGCCCATTGAAGTCCAGGCGCGTGTCATTGACTTGGTTCGCGTCGCCATGTGTAACCCTAACCCTTCTGCCGTGTATCATTTAGAATACTTCACCGCCTTCCCTTCACGTTTCACTTTGTGGATTCTGCCAACAAAGTCCCACTCCAAAATCACTGACCGCCAAAAGGGTGCTCTGTGACGCCGTCTCCTCAGTCCAGCCAATGGTCCGACAACTTGTGTCGTTGTCTTCGTCCTTCCTTCGTGCCTCAAGTATCCGCCCGCCCAGTCTTGCACACTATATCTCCAGATCGGCACACACAATGGCACCAAGTAAGTGACAACCCTTGTAGGCTAGCTTGTTGCCTAGAAACCGGTTACTCATTCTGCCCCTCAAGCGCTCCCACCCGATAGACGGCCGATTGTGATCTCGGGACCCTCAGGGGTTGGCAAGGGCACTCTCTACAAAATGCTCTTCGATAGACACCCGGAGACCTTCACGCTGTCTGTCTCGCACACCACGAGAGATCCTCGCCCCGGCGAGAAGAACGGAGTCGACTACCACTACGTTAGCATGGCGGACTTCGAGGCACTGATCGATGCCGAGGGCTTCGTTGAGCACGCCAAGTTTGGGCGCAACCGATATGGCACGAGCAAGATGACCATTGAGGAGCAGAGCGCTAAAGGCCGTGTCGTGGTGTTGGACATCGAGATGGAGGTAAGTCCATAATCTCACGGGGCATAGCTTTCCTAAAGTAGGCTAACACGACCGAACAATAGGGCGTCAAGCAGATCAAGCAGTCGAACTTCCCAGCGCGATATGTTTTCGTCGCGCCACCGTCAGAAGAAGAGCTGGAGAAGCGTCTACGAGGACGAGGCACCGAGAAGGAGGAGAGCGTCCAAGAAAGACTGGCCCAAGCAAAGATAGAGCTCGAGTACTCAAAGACGCCGGGTGTGCATGACATTATTATCGTGAACGACAATCTGGAGAAGGCATACAAGGAGTTGGAGGACTTTGTGTACACACCATCACAGTCATAGATGCAAATATAGACTCATAGATACCCGCCAACACGTCTGAGCAAAATTGTCACAAATAAGGAAGCATTGCAGCTATTGGCGATCACTACTTGCGTAGTGTATCATATGTATTCCGTGTGGTATCGAAACTACTTCTGAATTAGAGGTAGAGGAGGCTGGATGATTAAAACAAAGGAAGAAAGGCGAACGAGCTTCAATAATACTAAAAGGAAATAAGGGGTAATGGTCCAGTCCATGGAAATACTCATTCGCCAACAGCACTTAAACAAGCATTAGGCCAATGAGGGGGTATGACCTGCAATGAGCGCCACCGACATTTTCTCCTAAACAGAGTCTCTTTTCGGTTCCCCTTTTCGCAACGAAAGCTTTTGCACTCTTAACCGGATCTCGCTTCTTCTTGCTCATACCCATCGAGTCATACAGTAAGATCTTGCTCTCGACGCGGAGAACAATCACGCAGTCCTAAGCGCCTGCCGTGCATCGGTCCGCTTAATATCCGTTCATGGTCATCCGTTGGGAGTTTCGGCTCATCTCCCGGTCAGCGGCAGGGCTGATTGGCCTGCTGCCGTGACCTTGTGCGCTGCTCTCCTTCAGGGCAAGAAGTTGCTTGGCACGGAAGGTCTCGTAGTGGATCTGAGACGTGGTCTCAATGAGATCCTGCAGGTGGGTGCGGAGGAGAAAGTTTCGTAGATAAACGAATTCGCAGTGGTTCTCATCCTCGACATTGATGACGCCCCACCGGTTCTGACGACCGCGGACCTGCTTGCCATTGACAATGATCGACTTCTCAGAACCAACGACGGCGAAGGGGATGAGGTTCTAGATCGTATTGATTAGCATTGGTAATATGGGATGTTTTGAAATTGTCGGTGGACTTGCCTTGATCTGGGTGTTGACGGCACGCTCCTCATCATCGAACTCATCGTTGTCGTAGGGGTACATCTTCAAGTTGTGGAAGGCGAACTCCTCCTTGATGCGCTCCTTGAAAGCCTGGCGCTCCTCCAAAGTCAGGGTGTCGGCCTTGGCGATAACGGGCACGACGTTGACAACATCGGACAGCTTCTTCAGGACGACGATATCAATGGGCTTCAGGGAGTGACCGGAAGGCTGGATGAAGAACAAGCAGCAGTGAATACGGGTGTCCTGGATGTAACGCTCACGCTGGGCAGTAAGCTCCTTTCGCAGGTAAGCGGAGTGCTGATCCTTGATGTATTTCACGATAGGATCCCAGCAGCGGTCGTTGTTGATTAGGTCTCCGTAACCGGGGGTATCAACGATGTTGAGTCTAAGGCGGACACCATTTTCCTCAATGATATGTGAAACGGGGTGAATCTCGGTGGTGGATCGGATGATTTCCTCGGGCTGTAGACGACCCTTGGACTCGATGAGGTGAGAGGCAAAGATGGTGTTGATCAGTGTCGACTTGCCCAAGCCGGTCTGGCCTGTTCAGATGAACGATACGTGTCAGCATTTTGCAATTATGAGCGTCTAATGGATCCATTCAGAGCTCGGAAAGAGGATGCTTACCAACGCAGATGACGTTGAACTGGAAGCCACGCTTGATGAGCTTGCGCTCGATCTGCGAGGTGATGCTGTCGAAACCGACGTGGCTCTGGGGGTAGATGGTGGCAGCAGGCATGGTCGCCATGGTCTCACGATACGGGCGGGATGACGCGGAGCGGGATTTCTCGAGGGGAGTGTGTTGGCTGGAGATGTCCTCGTTGAGCGAGAAAAAGAATACCGGGCCACGGAGAGGCTGAAGATGCGGGCGATTGAGATATCGTGAGATGTTTCGTCGTTGTACGGTGTAGATTTTAGGGGAATTTCGCTCTGCAGCAGCTCTGTGCCAAACAATAATTTCCCTTCCAGGGGTCGTCGCAATGGGGGAGAAAGGGGTAAGTGCGTTCTGTCCTCCCAATTCGCCAGGAAAGGTCCGTGCGCCCGGCAAGGTCGTGAGTGGCAGGAGCTTTGCTGCTCTTGGTCGGGGGTGGGCCAGGAAGCTTTGCTGACCCTTGTACCACGCCCGGAGCTGTCACGGTATCACGCTAATAATTTTTCGGGCCCTCGCATTGAAGATAACTACAACATCGACCTCAATATCGCGTATGTCAACTCCCCAGGACAGCCAGCACTCCTGAGCGATTGAATCATCTTTTACAACTCAGACTGAGTTGCATTGGACACCCGACGACACTCGCTGCTAGCGTTCTGCGGCCTCATTGACTCTTTGGCAACGTTCGTCGGGCGATCAACGGAATACAAAACACAATGGCGGTGGCTTTGCAGCGCATACGGACGGCTGCGAGTCTGTCAATTATCCCTAGGATATCCTCTCCGATGCTATATTCATCCTCTCGCTTTGCTTCAGTTTTCATGAGACAGCTCTCGCTGCCGGCATTCCCATCGATAGCATTGGCCGTTCCGGCGTCGATACACCTGAACCTGCCGTCCTTACCAGCACTCCTAGAAGGAATCTGGGAGTCCATACTGAGGGCCGTGCCTAAGAAAAAGACGTCACATATGAAGAAGAGACATAGACAAATGGCTGGAAAGGCGTTAAAGGACGTCAACTCGCTCTGCAAATGTCCGGCTTGTGGAGGGGTGAAGCGCATGCACTACCTTTGCACAAACTGCATGACAAGTGAGTTTCTTTTGCGCATGCTGATGATGCCTTCTCTGACATGGTACTTTAGAACTGAATGGCCTTCTCAATCGAGTCGAGAAAGAGAAAAAGATGGAAGCTAAATAAGGTATGGGCTGATACTGATCAGTCGTTTTGGGATCGTGGTTTGAGTTCGTCCCGGCACAACTCTAAACCATTGTGGTTCTCCTGAAAGAATTGCATGAACGGATATATATGTACTATAAATGTTATAGCATATCGTGGCGTTGACTGCATTTAGTTGGCTTGTCTGTTTCGGAAGCTATACCAATAACTTCCAAATAGAGATACTGGTCAGGACACAGGATTTCCTGGTCAAGCTCGGTCAGAAGTCCGACATATGTAGATATAAATCTGGAAATCATTGAGTTTAAAAAAAGAAACACGAGCTCTCCGTGAAATCCTCCGACAAGTCCTATGATGGCGCCAGTCTGCTTGAGATGCCAAATCTCAGATGAGTATTCCACATAGATCGTCGCGTAAGTTTTGTAATGGAAACCTCGCTTCTAATACAAAGACGATATCTGAAAGGCGCTGCCGTTTGTTGATTTTCCTTGTTTGTAGTTGGACACTGAGTTATGATAGCATACAATTGCCTTCGACATTCGGGTCCGGCCCTTCTATGCGTCGGCGGCATTGACATCACACCTCAAACTCACCACCCCACTATGAAATTTCCCAAGCTCCAATAGCTGCATCTGCCACCAAACCGCATCCTTTCCACATGGACAGATAGCAATGGTATGTTTACGCTCCCTGAACTGTGTCTCGATATATACTGACATGGCCCCAGTCTAAGCAATACTTGACCACGCATACCGTGGACAATGGTAAGCTATGCGGAGCTACCCCGCCATGAAGCCATAGTCTCCTATGATTTTGCTATTCTGTCAAACTGATACCTGCGTTTAATCAGCCCATACAACAAGCATACTCTCCCTAGCGACAACACCAACGTCCCTTCTGTCTGCTGGCGGCGCTTCTGAAATCATCGTCCACCGGACCAACGACCCCTCCTACCCTATATCGCAGTCCATCAAAGCGCATACGCTCGGATGCCACCACATCGCGACCGCGCGGGGCGGAACCGGCAAGGTAGCCATCTCAGCTGGTTTTGGCGGGGAGTTGAAGATTTGGGGTTGCAATGATGGCGGCGATTGGAGTCTGCACTCGGAGATCACACGGGCTGACTGCAAGAAGCAAGAGGTGGGCGATATCTGGGCCGTCGCCCTGAGCGCTGACGAACAGTATGCGGCGTGCACTACACACGACGGCAAGATACACGTTTGGGATCTGGTGGAGAAGAAGAAGCTCCAAACGTACGAGACGGGGAGCGCCACGGGTGGCCACTTTGGCATGTGTGTCGACTTGAGCAGAGATGGACGACTTACGGCGAGTGGACACATGAGTGGCGCCGTCTATGTCTTCAACAATGATACGGGACGGATGGCGTACTCCCTATCAAGTGAGTACCATCTACGATTATCTCATAATGCTTGCCTTTGCCACCCTGCAGTTCTAACAGACGCCCACTGCAGGTCTTGCCAAACCTGTCCGGGCAGTGGCATTCTCTCCCGGCAACAGTCGCCTGGCTGCTGCTGGCGATGCAGGAATAATCGCCCTCTACGATATGACCCATGGAGAGCACGTAGGAAATTTAAGCAGTGGCAGTCAGTCATCAGCTTGGATAACGTCGCTCGACTGGTCAGATACCGGCGAATATCTCCTTTCCGGATCCATGGATGGGAAGGTGAAGGTGTGGTCGATAGACAGCGGAGTTTGCGTTGCTACACACAGCGAGACGGACAAGATATTATGGTCTGTTCGATGGCTACCAAAGACAAGTGTGACCAAGGGCGAGATGTTCTCCACCGCGGGAGAGAACCGAAGCATCACTTTCTACAGAGAGGCTACAGGTGCTTGATAAAGGGCTCGGACACTTCAAACTGGGCGATTCAATGGGGCTTCACTGCAATTTTAGCTTCTGGCAAGAGAACTATCTTAGATACCTAAGATATCATACCTCGTTGGCCTGTGAGCCTAGGCAGGTAGTGCTCAACCAGGCTCAGAAAGACGCTGAAGATTCCATTCTTAGGAGGTGTTCGAAAAATTTCTAAGAGTCTTAAGATACAATGATAGTATTGTAATATGGAATTCTTGAAGACAATTCTAAATGCAGCTAAGACCTGCAGTTAGGTAAGGTTGAGGCTCACCTAGACTGGTCTCGTGATTTCGCGTTTTGGCGTTGCCCCGCCAGCAGTTACCACCTGAAGTCCCGCCTCTTAGTGCACACCCCTCGTCATCGAAGGAGAACCTCAATTCCAACCGCCAATTAGGACACTGTTAAAGGTCACCGGCCCTCCATTCTGCATTCTTAAAACATTGACTTGATCTTTGATCATACATAATCCCCAGGAACGTTCACAAACCCGCCCACAGCCCACTGTTCATACCTATCATACTTGAATTGTCGCCTGCTCACAATGCCCACCACTCGCAAGGCCTCTGGTGGCCGTGGGGCGACCGCTTCAGGCAAGCAGTCCACCCTCAGCTTTAACCATCGAGTCACGAAGAGCGTTCCGAAGTCAGCCAAGGATGCGGTGATTACGTCCGCTGTTACGAAGAAGGAGCCGGCACCCGAGAAATCAAAGCTCTCGCAGTCAATCACGGCCGAGGATGTGGTCGAGACCCCCGATGTGGACGAGCCCGCAGAGGTAGAGGAAGACGAGGCGCCCGCAGTGCCCGAGAAGTCAGAGGCAGAAGTCAAGGCCTTGAAGATCACAGATGCGCAAGTCAAGCGCTATTGGAACAATCTGGAGGCCCAGCGCAAGGCCAAGCGGGTGCATCAGGAGGACCTGACCGTTAGCGAGAAGGTGTTGAGATACTTTGACGTCAGCTCACAGTATGGGGTATGTCAAGACCTCTTTATGATGCATTCACTGGCGGTTTACTGACATTTCTATAGCCTTGCATTGGAATTACTCGTATGAAACGATGGCAGCGAGCGGAGAAATTGGGACTGAACCCTCCCATCGAGGTGCTCGCCGTCTTGCTCAAGGAGGAGGCAAAGGGTACCCACGGGATTGAGCGGGCGGCAATCGATGAACTCATGAACTCAACGGCAATTGGTGCTGCTTGAGTCGACTATGATTGAGACTCATTGACACATGATGCACTCTATGGAACCGAATATGGCTTGGGAATTGTTTGCGGATCGAAGGAACAAAGTTCGGCGTTGGGGACATGGGACAGTTTCGCTTTGAAATGTACTATTAGGGCCGATAACAATAACATCGACAAAAGTAGCTATTTGCATCAACTGGTCGATTGACCTAGGACTAAATGACCGTGTGAGCCCGCCCACAACGTAACGCATCAATACCAGATGCTCCTTGTTCGGTGATGGGGGACAGTCTCGTGCCCCTTCGCCTCAATCTCCTTCATGGCATCGTAGAGAAAGAAGTCTATCAATATAGCATTGACCTTCGTATCTGGATGATTTCTTAGGATTTCTCTTTTTAACAACTCGACACACCATATGCTGGCCGCTGTGCAGTTATTAGTTTGTTAACCGTGGAATGTGTTTCCTAGAGGCTTACCTCTTAGCTGCAGCTCCCATTTCGTTCCGCTTTCAATAATCTTCTTCTCCCGGATAGTAAGGTCCAATACTGGGCTGTAGAAGATGCAGCCCATGGTATTGAGAATCTGGGGGATCCTGTAGTCTGCAAACATGGTGATCTTATCGATGTCGCGGAAGGCACCGTAGCCTTCGCCCTGAAAGCAAGCCCATATGTCTGCGACCAAGATCTGCGCCCTCTTGAGAAAGCGGACGGGCTTCCGCCTCCCCTCGAACCGAAACTCATCCCGGAAGCACAAGAAATCTTTTGCGAGCAGGTTCACAAGCCCGGCAGCGGAACCATTTGCCGCCTCGATGCACTTTGTGAAACTACACGAGTATTTCTGCGGGCAGCCATGAGCTGGATGATTACAGAGTTGGGGACACTACAGAGCACCCAACAAGTTCAAACATTAAGAGTTGGACGTACCTCGTACAGAACCTGACCGGCTTCACGTAGACAGGTGAGCCGTGCCTCTAATAGAGGTATCTCTTCATCGGTGCAGGACCGAAATACATGTTTCAAGACATCCAAGGTGCACTCTTCCTCGCTCTGCCAGAAATCAGAGCTCGTGATGGGGATTCCTTTTGGCCGAATTAATGACACAACAGATACGTGAAATCGCGGGCTCTCATGAGTGCACACATGGATCAAGCTGTACGGACAGGCAAGGAGAACAAAGCACACCTTCATCTAAGGCACGCTGCAGGGCAGCAACTAGGCTCCAGTAACCGGTCCATGTCTTGTCTCGGTAAGAGATGGCGAACCGTTTGTCATCTGGCTTGGTTGACCAAAAGGAGAAATTCAAGAGGTCCATGGTGAAGATGAAAGCGACGGTGCTTTCGTCCTTGGTCTTTGGGTGGAGCTCATGCTCAGTCCAGGTGGCGGTGGAATAGGCCTTCTGCTGCATCTGGTTGTAGATTGCCGCAGCAGCATTCTTGGTCGACCTCATGTCGATGGCCACGTCGATGGAGTTGTCGTAGACATACTCGGCATCTTGCAGAACCCCTGTCTCGGGGTCTTCACTTATCGTGAGCTTGCCCTGGAGGTGCGCTCTGAGCAGAGCTAGAAGCTCGGGATCGGCCTCGTCATCGGACATGGGGGCAACGGTATTGCGATCAAGCGGACCTACAAGCCTGGTTCCGACGTCGTCTGCGACCAGAGAGACGCATGCGCCGCTGTTGGAAACGGTGGTTTGGATGTGTTGCAGCGAGATGATTCCGGGCGCCTAACGAGGGGCCTAGTACAAAAAAAAAATAGAGAGGCCCAAGCCTGGATTGATATCACACCTAATTATGGATAGATTGACGCGATGATCCCCAGCAAAAGTAGACCGCCTTCCTCGCTTGCTCGAGTCATTAAATTTTAGCAGTAATGAATGCATTATTTATTGCACCTCCATCTGGGCCTTTGGGGGTTAGGACTCCATCTATAGACACTATTAAACTCCTGTTGGCGAGACTTGTCTTACCTCAAGTGAGCTGCCCTAAGGGTGTGAGTACAAGTAGTTGTCTGCAGGTTCGCCGGTCTGTGGTCGGGGCTTCAGCTGCCGCTTCCTTGCAGTTCCCTAGGTAGCCCAAGGAAAACTTCCGCGAGGAATAAAGATGTTATTTTACTGAAAATCAATGACCTCTTCACAGAGAAGCTACGATCTTTGTATTAGTCGTCAGGTAACCGTACTCAGGTAATACAGGGAATCCTCAAAGCCTCGATAATTTAAGTGCCATGACTCTCAACATGAAATAAGTTACCTTTACCTCTAGGGGGAGCAGTTCTTACCTACCTGGCGGGACCTGCCTGTGTGCAGCGCTCGAGGCGACCAATTACGTCAGGCGACTCACTAAGGTGCCGCCAACAGCTTGGACCTCATGCGGACATGCTCTCACTAAGAACCCCTGTCCATGCCAAGACCGCGTACCTCTTTCCGCTACCATGCCGTACGTTTTAGCAGCCTTTTTTGCCCGACCAGAGAGACTCTTGAACTGAGTGATGCGCTCAAGCACGCAGCTCGAGGCTGCCACCTGAAGGAAGCGATCTTCACTCCTACTCTTTCTCTTCATCCTCCTCCTGCTCCATCGCAACGACGTCGCCCCTCGCCGATTGCATCCTGCTCACCCTCTTCCCCCTCTACGATACCTGCGCTCTCCGATTGTCTACCGATCAAACGAACCACTAGCTCGAGGAAGCTGCGTTTGTCACCATGAGCGCCGCGGCTGTGGCACCACCAGCTCCAGCTCCGGCTTCAACGCCCGCCGCACCTGCTGCCGCCCGCCAACCGGCAGCAATGTCTCGCGACAGCTTCAACAAGCAGTCGTTGGGCGCGTCCCTCAATAGTAAAGTCAAGGAGGTACGATACCCCGACCATGCTTGTTCTTTGTCCCCTTTCTAGGCCCCTCCCTTGGGCTGCGCATCTGGGCTTTTCACAAGGGCATCACTCTTCCTTTGCGATTTTCTCCACGATTCCTGCGTAACCAAAGCCGCCTTGCTGGTACATGAAACGATGCCAAACTCTACTGAACAGCCGTTGGCAATTGAGCTTGACTTCTTACTGACTCTTCCGCAGTCTCGTGTCTTGATGGTTGGAGCCGGTGGTATTGGCTGCGAACTACTCAAGAACCTCGTCCTGACAGGCTTTGGCGAAATCCATATCGTGGACCTAGATACTATCGACCTAAGCAACCTGAATCGACAATTTCTTTTCCGCTTCGAGCACATCAAGAAGTCGAAGGCATTGGTATGCTTGCACGATTTACCGCGCTGAAAAGGCGTGGTGGGATGAAAGCTGACAAGAGGACAGGTCGCGAAGGAAGCGGCGCAAAGATTCAACCCGAATGTCAAGATCATCGCGCATCATGCCAACATCAAGGAGTCCAAGTTCAACATTGAGTGGTTTCACGGCTTCACCATCGTCTTCAATGCGCTCGACAACGTGGATGCCCGACGACATGTGAACAAGATGTGCTTGGCTGCTGATGTGCCCCTAATTGAGAGTGGAACAACAGGCTTTAATGGCCAGGTGCAAGTCATCAAGAAGGGAGTGACGGCATGCTACGATTGCGCACCGAAAGAGACCCCGAAGTCGTTCCCAGTCTGCACGATTAGGAGTACGCCGAGCCAACCTATACACTGCATTGTGTGGGGAAAGAGTTATCTTTTGAAGTAAGCCAGGGGTCCAAAATGTTCAAGGCCATTCGAGCTGACATCAAGTTTCTAGTGAGATTTTTGGGGCTAGCGAGGATGAGTCGGCCTTCGACCATTCCGGTGACCAAGAAAATGGTATGTAACATGAGCAAGGTGCATCAACGAACGCCAAAGTGTTGACTTTTTGCAGCTTCCGAGATCGAAGAACTGAAGAGAGAAGCCGAGGCCCTACGGAAGATCCGACAATCAGTCGGAACTGAAGAATTCCCCAGGATGCTCTTTGAGAAAGTTTTCAACACAGATATCGTTCGTCTACGTTCGATGGAAGAAATGTGGAAGTCGAGGCAACCACCAACGCCACTAGATTATCAAACACTTATGAGCCAGGTCTCCGAAACAATTCCCTCAGACGAGGCCAAGCAAGCCATATTGCAGGATGGTCAAAAAGTGTGGTCCTTGGAAGAGAATTTGGTGGTATTCAACGATAGCCTGGATCGTCTCAGCAAACGAATACTCGAGTTGAAGAAGACAAAAAAGCCCTCGGAACCCGAACCGATGATCACATTTGACAAAGATGACGAGGATACCCTTGACTTCGTGGCCGCAAGTGCGAATATTCGATCTCACTTATTTGGCATCGACAAGAAATCGCGCTTCGATATCAAGCAGATGGCTGGCAACATCATCCCAGCCATTGCTACAACAAATGCTATCGTCGCTGGTATCTGTGTTCTAGAGTCGTTCAAGGTCCTTAGAGGAGATTATGCCCAAGCAAAGGAGGTGCGTAACATCAGTCCGTTTTTGTATTCTGTTTGCCTAACCTATCCTTAAGGTCTTTCTGACACCTTATGGGTCCGCCCGTCTATTGGCGCCCGACCGTCCAAGGCCACCGAATCCAGAGTGTCCTATATGCAGCGTATATCAGACGAGTGCTGTCGTGGATATATCGCGAGCTACTCTCAAAGATTTGGTGGACGACTTTGTGAGGCTCCATCTAGGTTACGGCGACAAAGAGCTCGCCGTCAGCAGTGACGCTGGCATCCTCTATGACCCTGACGAAGACGTAAACCTCAGCAAAAAGCTGAGCGATCTTGGTACGTAACACGCCATCTTCTGACCATTTCCTTGGCTAACTCTCAGATCAGGCATCAAGCAGGACAGTCTCCTAACCATCACTGATGAGGATGACGTAGATACCTTTGTTAATGTCGTGGTCAATATTCAGGAAGCGTATGTTTCGGACGATGTCCTCCACCGTCTCACATGTACTAAATCTTGACAGCTCTGAACCGTTGGCCGAGAAACCAATCAAAGCCAGCTCGTCCGACCAGAAGCCGGAGATCCCAAAGAAACCGAAGAAGGCGGCTGCACCCACTTCCAATGGAGTTCATCAGACGAACGGCAAACATGCTCTGGAGAATGACGAAGTTGTCACACAAACCTCCAAGAGACCGAGAGACGAAGATTCCGACTCGCGAGGGGCCAAAAAAGCCAAAGTCGCCGCCCAACCCACGGAGGACGACGGTGTGGTCATTGTTGATGACGAGGCTAGTGGCGCTATTGTCATCGACTAATTCTAAATATAGACGCTCGCGGTGGCTGAATCATCATCAAGCAGCACTCAATCCACCGTCGAGGTTGAGTACACAGTTATTGGCATAAGGATTTTTTGCGAGAAAGGCAGCGGCGTCTGCCACCTCCTCAGGAGTCCCTAGGCGTCCGAGAGGAATATTTTCTGAGAGCCTGTCCTTGCTCATGTCTGAAGAAACGGTGTACATTAGCAGGCACTTACTGTATGAATATCATGAGGATGAAAATGGAGAACGGAATAGGGCCGCGAGGATTAACCTCGCGTCACGGCAGGGCAGCCTAAAAGAATCTTGGCAGGGACTGGACATGTTTGGACGAGGGTTGCCGAACTTACTTTGGATCATCTCTGTCTGGATGTACCCCGGTACCAAGGCATTCACACGGACCCCGAGGCGCCCGAGTTCGAGGGCCAGGGCTTGTGTCAGTCCTATGTAGATTTGCTGCAGTTAGATACCGTGCTTCTTCGGTGCTTATAGGTCGCTAGACATGCAATGATAGACGACATGCTGGATAAACTCTCTTGAAGCATTGGGCATTGAGGCTTACCTAGCAAGCCTGCCTTGGATGCGGCGTATACCGATGCCCCCTTGGCCCCCTTAGTTGCCATGAGGCTAGAGACATTGATGATGCATCCTGTCTTTTGCTTGATCATGAGCCTTCCGACCGCTCTGCAGCCGAATGCAGTCCCGCCCAGGTTACTGGCGAGGATGTCAGAGATGTCGTCATAGCCTGTCTTGAAGAGAAGTGTCTCCTGGGAGCGTCCGGCCGCGTTGACGAGAATGTCAATCTTGTTCTACATAGACCACGTCAGCATCATGTATCACTCGCAAAATAGCCAAGAGATCATACGCAGAATAATACTTACATGCTGCGCGACTAGACTCTCCCAAGTATCTGTCCTCTGCACATCTCCTTGGATGAAAGAGTGGGGCAGGGTAACTTTGGGGAGTGTCCTGACGGCTGTGACCAGAGAGTTCTCATGACGGCCGACAAGAATGCAGGCCGCGCCCTCGTCGGCGAAACGCTTTGCAATGGCCAGGCCGATGCCCCGGCTTCCGCCGGTGATGACGGCCCTCTTGCCGGCCACCGACAACATATTTGTAGGTGTTATTGGGACGCCCGGCTCCGAGGCGTGGTGCAGTTACCCGAAGGTACCAGCGAGCTTCTCCAAACACTCTGTCGCGAAGTGATGTAGGAGACTTAACAGCGGCCAGAGTCAGCTCTCCTCATAAGCCTCGTTTGCTTTTTGCTTCACACTGGCGTGCTCTGAAAGCGCTGTACACTACAGTGCATAAGGTTATACTGAAGGGTAACGTGAGTCTGTAATGATGCTATTGGTGCAGAGCCTCGGCTCTTGTTTCTTCAGATGGATCTGCAGAATGCCAATTTTTCGAGCTTCCGTCTCGCTCTAACCTTGATTCAGGGGCAGCAGCGCGCCAAGACTCTCTCCGACTGGAGGCCGTCAAACGCGGGCGGGCGGGTAGGATTAGGTGGCCTAAGGGTATCTTAGTGCGCCTCCAGGGACAGACAGTTCAGGTCCATGTACTGGTCCTGGCTGGCTGTACTTAGGTAGTCCGCTGGCGACTCGGAGGGTGGTCGCTGTCCAGGACCCGCATCCCGTCAATCTACACACCTAACCTAACCTAACCTAACCTACCTACCAGCTAAACTACCGGTACCTACCTGATTCCGTCAGACGAGTCTGACGGCGCCTCGGTATCTACTCCATAATCAGTGTCTGTCTGTCTGCTGAATCGCGATCCTCTACGCGGATTCTGAGCTCTCGCCTGCTGGCGCATGTATCTTGATCGTTGTCGAACATCAATGCATCCCTGTGGCCTCTGGCTGACACCATCCCCGTCTCTCCTTTGCGCTGGAACTGTGCCCGCCTCCGCCGCCGCCGCCGCCGCCACGACTGCCACAAGCGAGTTGATGAATAGCGCAGAGCCACGCATCGTCCATGGTTCAACAGGTCCAGGACTCTAGCTCCGGCTCAGAACTGCACAAAATGTCCAAAGATGCCCCAAACAATGCGAAACCCACCGAGAAGGAGGTCATCGACGCCGGATTGAGGAGTTTAGATCACTGTATGTGCCCTGGCCATGGGTAGAGCGCGCACTGCGAGCATTGGGCCTCCCCGCCGTCTCATCCCACCTCAGCCAGCACGAAGGACCCCCTGGCTACCGTCTGCCATTGCACAGCAACACGAGTCTATCTTTACTGACGCTTCTTCTCTCCAGACAAAAGAGCCCTTCCGAAATGGCGATACAACCTCCGCCAGCGTATGCTACCCCTCGTGCGGTGGGAAACGCCGTATCTCGCCTATTTCCAGGACAAGGCGCGCACCCCCGCCCTCGACAGCTACTTCGCGATCACCGCCAATCTCGGCACACACACCTTCTTCATGATCGGGCTGCCCATTCTCTTCTGGTGCGGCTTCTCGTCGTTCGGCAAGGGCCTGGTGCACATTCTTGCTGAGGGCGTCTTCTTCTCGGGGTGGATCAAGGACATGGTATCGCTACCCAGGCCGTTATCCCCTCCGCTACACCGGATCACGATGTCGGGCTCCGTGGCCCTCGAATATGGCTTTCCATCTACACACTCGGCGAATGCGGTATCGGTGGCCGTATATGCCGTGCTGTGTCTGCGCTCGGCGGACAACCCTTTCTCGCCAACAACCAAGATCCTTCTCGAGTCGTTGGGCTACTTCTATACGCTTTCGATTATCATTGGACGTCTATACTGTGGTATGCATGGCTTTCTCGACGTCTTTGTCGGCTCACTTATGGGGGCTATCATTTCTCTTGTGGAATTCTACTATGGTCCTGCGCTGGACCTCTACATGCACGAGAGCGGCTGGTCTGCACCGATAATCGCTGCTCTGGTCATCATCGTTCTCGTGCGCGTTCACCCCGAGCCGGTAGACGATTGCCCATGCTTCGACGACAGTGTGGCTTTCGCAGGCGTCATGATCGGGCTCGAAGTTGGCACCTGGCACGTGGGCAGGACCCAATACGCCTGGACGCACAACGAGCCGTCGCTGCACTTCCAGGGGCTGGGCTGGCCTGGCGTCGTGACGCGCATAGTCTTCGGCGTTGCTGTCATCGTCGCCTGGCGAGAGGTCATGAAGCCGACACTGCTCAAGACTCTACCCCACCTGTTTCGTGTTATCGAAACCTCGGGCATGTCGCTGCCTCGTCGCTTCTTTATGCCTGCCAGCGAGTACAAGAACATTCCGGATCTGCTGCGTCTCAAGACCGATAATGTGCTGCCGAGCGTGAGCGATCTGCCCAACTTCGTGCGCAGCATACGCCACCCCGTCCGTGGGAGGAGCATTTCTATCGGCCCCCAGAGCGCCGCCGACGCATACGAGACCTTAGCGTATCGGGAGCGAAGGAGGAGGGAAAGCGTTGGCAGCAACGGCAGCGTCAGGAGTAAGTCTAGCATTAAGGATCTACGTGAGAAGGCAAACGGCTCCGCGGTCGTAGGCGATGACCCAGCGGGATGGAGCACGGGATCGGGAGCGCAGCACAGCCCTTTCGCAGAGTACGAGCAGATGATGGGTCAGGGTAAGGTCTACGTGAACGCCAACCGGTCGCCGAGCCCGGACGGCGTCGCGCCCGACGAGCCGGACCTGTACATCGTGTCGCAGGACGAGCTCGGCGAGAAGGAGATGTTCCAGAAGCTAGTGAAGCCGAGAGTACGATACGATGTGGAAGTTGTGACGAAGCTGGTCGTCTACACTGGTAAGCATCTTGAACCCTCAATTGTCTCCCGGCTTATAGAATTTGACACACTATTAGGCATTGGATGGCTCGCTGTCGAGATCATACCAGTCATTTTTGAATTTGTTGGCCTAGGCGTTTCGCACCTACAACCTGCATAGATATTTGAGATACTCCTGTCCGGGAGCTACTCGTGATAATGGCAATTCTTGTATATATTCCGATGTTCAACTGGCGTACGTAGTCAAGCGGTCCGATGTCATGGAGACACGTTCAGACTTAGAAGTCCCATAGTGTTAATTCTATAGAGCTATTTCATGATACACGGACCTACCTAGACCTCCTCGGTTTATATCACACATATAGTAGTAGACCGAAAGCTGTGGAGAAACTGCTTCAAGGCACTCCATTTGCATTTGGCGATCCCGATTCTACTGTACACAGCATCTGAGATTTCCTGCGTAGGGTGATCAGGTTCCGCCGGGGTAAGGATGAGGAGGACGGCAGTGTCTGGACCAAGACGTCTGAGGATCAACACGTGTATATCCTCCTCATAGTCAGCTCTTGTGTTATCATCGGAATCTGTTCTTATGATGTGCTTGTTTGGCCCACGGCAGAGTCGTGTATCTGGATAGAATGAGGCATTCAACGTTCGAGTTGTTAAGGCTCCCCATGTGAATTGGGGTTTAATATGATCCAAAAACTGGAATTCATCGTTCTCCCAATCCCACCTGAGCGTGACCTTCAGAAAAAATCCAGCGAGTACTACGACGCCAGCTAACGCTCTTCCACAATCCTTGAGGCCCTTTGCAGTGTAATTAGCAGATATGATGCGCATGTTCCAGGGATCGGGAGAACATGTATAACGTTCACGTTTTTCTTCGTCTTCGTCAATGATCGGGCCGACCGCACCAGTTATAGAAGCCCACGACCACGAGGGGCTGCCGTTTGCTGCTGGGAGACTCTCGCTACCAAGTGAACGCCAACAAAGCTGTAAAGCTAAGTCACTATACCATAATCCCGCAAGGTACCTATCACGGATACCCGAACAGATATCAGTCGCGATTCCTTCAAGCGCGACGAGTCTATCCTTGACATCCGTGAGAATTCGTCTGGTATACTCCGGTATCAAGACCCGGCGCCAGTAGTAGTAAAATGCATCTATGGCTTGCTGATTTCGTATCAAGTCATCCCGCCATTTGTCGTATCCATAGAAGAAACCGCCAGCCAAAAGGCCGTCAGGAATAGCACCCGATATGGCAGCTTGCAAATCGGGCTCTAACATTCCGGAACAAACGCTGTAGAAGTAAAGTCCAAACCCTGGACTTAGGTCATCCCTATGCCTTCCAATATAGTGACGGCCTGGTATGATTGTACTCGTGGCTTTCCTCTATGCTATCCGTCCGACCCCATCGGTTGGATTTTGAGTGATACCATGACATTCGCATGTTTGATCTACCTCACATTCATAGTACATCTCTTGGCTTCCAAAGGATAGTAGGCGCCTGGGAAGAATGCTTTCTTGAAAGGTCCAAGCTCTAGTATGTATGGGATCCAGGTCTAGCTGTAGCTTATGATCTATATTGCATTTGTAATTGATTGGAAGCGAACATGGAGTTTGTCTTGGAAAGCCGAAGAGATCGCTGGGGGAGCAGGCCGCACTAATCGTCAAAGAAGATTCTCTGTATATATCACACATCTTAGAGGCTTCGGTGTGAAAGTCTTCGCCACTACTTAAGGAATCAGTGCACTCTGACACAGGTAATAAACATCCAAAGAATAGACCAGAGTCGCCGTTCGTTAGATTGCACTAAGAATGCCAACAACAACTTCTCTGACGGTAGAGGACGAGAATCCCCAGAAAAAAGCCAATAACATTTTTTCTTTTTCCCCCCAACTTGTACGCTATTGCCCTGAGATGAGTCCCACGTCAAGATCTCATCTTGCGCCATAGCTCGTGATAGCGACTCCTCAGCTCTGACGTTAGCTTACTTACCTCCGATTTCCGCCACAATCTGGTTTGCAGCCACGATAGCAAAGCATGCCGCCGTGAGGGTTGGGTTACAGGCAAGTCCCTGAGGGATCACACCGCACCCGCCGAGCACCAGATTGCTGCAGTCCCACACTTTGCCGGTCCGGTCGACCACACTGTCCTTGATCGACTTGCCTGCTCTGTAAGTACCACAGATGTGAAGTGCCGAGCCTGGAGCAAGGTATTTTGGTTCGGCGCCAGGGAGGAAGCCGCCAAGGTTCCTAGCGACCTCGACCATGCTAGCCGGACAAACCCAAGTCAGCCCACTAGTAACATTTTCTTAACTGTGCGGTTCTTGAGAACTCACTCTGTGATCATGCGCTCGCAACGGTTCGCGTCATCATCGCTGGGTCTGAAATGGAAGGTTGGCTAGGATGGCTCAGCAATCACTCGCACAGATGTGAGTCCTGAACCCTAACTACTCACCTGCGGCATGTCAAACTCATCGGTTATTTTTTCTGAAAAGTCGACAGAGTTCGTCTCTTTGGGCTCTGCGTAGGTGAACCAGCGGAAATCTACCACAAGTCTTTGGTCAACTGTTTGCGGAACTTCGCCGTAGCCGAAGGCATCTCGATGAATCTGAGTGTGCCACGGATTCGCGTTGGAGAAAGGGAAGTAGCACTGCGGGTCTGTGTCCTTGAAGGGGAATGGCAATGGGTCGCTGGGATGGTGCTGGTGGTGTTTCTCGACAATCTCTCTCCATCCGAGATCGTATGGATCATTTATCACATTGTCCACGAGAGACCGCTTGAGAACAATTTGGCAGAAAGCCATGCTCTGCTCGGTCATGTAACGTCCCTAGCAGTTTGGTTCCATGGTTAGCAACCTTGAGCGACTTCATAAATCTCTCCGGTGACTTACAAGTGCCGGCAGGTCGTGCCTAGTAAAACCGGACGCGGCCATGATACCAGGTGTGAGAACAGCGCCGGCGCAGACGACGTACTTCTTGGCGGTGATCAATCTTTTCCCGCCCTTCAGGAGGTCTTTCACAACAGCTCCTATGATCTCCGGTGGGTTCGTATTGACATCACGGAGAAGCCCCATGCACTGGGTGTTGGGCTGGATCTCAAAGTTCGGACCAGAGTAGTTCGGATCAGCGAGATCTCCAAGAATAGTAGCCGAGCAGGACCACTCCACATAGTCCTTGTTGATCTCACTTCGCTGGCAGGCCAGAGGCATGCTCTTGATCTCCCGATTGTCCTTCTTGTAGGCGTCCACGAGGACGTGTTTCACAAGTTGCTGACGAATAGACTTGTCGAACGATGTGTCGTTTGTATTGAACAGAGTCTCAGCTTCGTCGTAAAGCTTGTTCCACTCCTCCTCTGTGAAGAGGTCGGACTTTTCGGAACCATGCGGTCGTGGTGTACAACATGTCCAATGGGCTCCCATGCCTCCCACAACGCGAGTCGCCGCAGCAGATGGCAGATTATCCCAGGGGCTCTGCTCGGGATTCTGCCCATTTTGGAGGCAGCCAATCTGAGCTGGACTGACGTTCCTATTAGTAAAAGCAAAGCAAGCTAAAAAGATTTCTTACGTTGGATCCCACGAGACCGGCTCCAGGTACAATCCGGCGTTAGAAGTGGGAACAGACAGAGTATGGAGCTCTCCCTAGCACAAGTTTCTTAGTAAATTGGTGCATCAAATGGATAGACATATTGGTGAGTTTACTTTGACGATGCTACCCATTGTTAGTCCACTCCAATGATTGAGAAATACTAGGGGAGAAAACACACTTCGTAAAGAGACTGACATCCTTCTGTGCCGCAAAGCTGTTCTTTCTATGGTCGCCGACTCGTCTGGTGGCTCTGCGGAACTAATTAGCCTTCATTCGATCAGAGCGGCGTTGCTACACTAGCTGGTCTCCAATCTCAACCATGAGAACCTTAAGGTTCTTATCAACAAGCTTCCTCGCAAAGGTAGCCCCGACGGGACCTGAGCCTACGATAAGAACATCGCAGTTGTAAGGTGCGTTTTGATCTTGCTTCTTTGCCGTCTGGGCAGCAGCCTGAAGCTTGTCGTACAAGCCCATGTTGATTCAAAGACCCGCGACTGATGAGGCAGGTAAAGTAATAAACAAAAATGTTTTGCCTATGCAGAGTTCGGATCCTTGAAAATTCGCCCTGTTCTAGCTCAAAGAGGTCTGAAGTTTTGAAGTCTGGGATGAAGATCTTCATACTTTATAGTGGTCATCAGGCGACTCTTATATACACGTTCTGTGAGGTCCTCAGCAACTGATCGAGTGTACCAATTCCTTTTCTTTTTTGTTTAAGACGGCACGGGACGGCACGGCTCGTACGAGACATTGCGGCCTATTCCTAAGCACGAGGCCAATGCTAAATGGTCGCAACTCTCCAGCAAAACAAGCCTCTGAGATCAGATTGCTTTCAGCTGTTGTCTAGTGAAAGCCATTGATCAAACGGGGAAACCGCTGAGGACACCGGTGATGCTCAGCTGGAATGAAGCATGCAGGGCTTGCGCAAGGCATCAAGCGTGGCGTATCTAGGCCTCCTTTGTCTTGGCCATAGATTCGTGACTGGCGCGGCGACTCGTACGAATTTTAGTCTGTGTTACCCAAAGTCGTATCCTTCCCCGCCTTTCACGTTGTTTGGGAAGCCAAACAAGCTGACAATAGAATATTGATGGCGCCTCATGGCTTTACATCCTCGGGGAGAGAGATATAGAAAAACGTGGTTGGTTTTCCGCTTGTTTAAATTGGGGCCAACCCTGAAGGACGGATTAAACCCCGGAGGCGTATTGTCCTACAAGGTCCACCGCGGATCAAAGTGACAACAAATTAAGAACATGGGAGTACTGATGTCCCTGTTTCAAAAGACACTATAGAGGAAGCGAAATTTAGGTTTGTAGCGAGAAGATAATACTAAGATGATGTTTACATGTCCGAAACGTTGAGTATGAAAGGAATTGATTAAGTCAATAGATGTAGTCGCATGATTGTGAATAGCAATTGTAAACAAATATCGGGGTAACAGTGCAATATCCAATAGTGTCAGGGCTATTTTAACTTCTAGTAGTGATGACTCCTGGCCGTCTTATCATCGTCGCGGCCTTGACTTGGTCTCCTATCGCTGGTTATGTCTTTTGAACAGGTGCCATGCGTTTCTTGACTGTCACAACGTCTATGGGGATTCTAGCTTGATAATTGTATATTTGATGAGTTGCATTCCCTAGTATTCATAAAGGTGAAGTGTACGGCTTTTAGAGCTGGGAGTAGGGGCATGAAATAGGATGGCGACTTCTCAGAGCTCTTGGCTTAGACGACATGCGCTATTATGCACTCAATATATCGAAAGAGGCTTGGGTGGCTTTACGATGTGATGGATCCCACTCAGGTGAGGGATGGAGACAACGTCAAGATCAGGTCGGAAGGGCCGGCATGGCACTGCCAAAGTTGAGCCATCGTTGAGCTTGTGCTCTGTGAGCGTGAGACACGTCAGGGCAGTGGCGCGCAACTCACAGCAGATATACGTGACGGGAGGGAAACCGGTGAATGTTTACGACATAATCGCCCGCTATTGATCTGTCTATTTTGAGAGGAATTTGAAGACCCAGAGCTAGGAGCGTCTTTAAGCATCAGCTCCCAAATCAAATTATAGACATCTAGAGTCAGATAGTAAAATGCAGTTGATATACTATAGTATAACAAGCTCTACGATTGGAGGGGAGGAATTGTGGTAGTCGCTATAATTACTGTGGAGATTGTGCCAGGACCAGAATTGGCAGGCCGACCCGGACGCGCGAATGTTAGACGATTGTCAGTCCTTGTGCATTCCTTGACTGGATTAGTGCTAAGCAATGTTCCTTCTGAATAAGCCGATAATATTAGCCGTCCTCATATTCTCACGGTAAGATGCCCCAATATGACTCTTGGAAATAGCACTGGTGGAGAGACTGGTTCTAGCAGCGTCGGATAAGCCGACTGTGCGAAGAGCTTCCGGAAGAGCCTCCACAACTGACCGCGCCTGTCTACCTAGCCCAATTTACAGGCCGATCCATCAACCACGCAGCAGGGAATTGGCCAATAACGAGCGGAGCGTCAATTGACCATGGTCTTGGATTCTGCGGTACACACCATGAGCCTGCACTGATATAGATCCGGGCAACTGATTAGAGGCTACCCAGATGTATTCTGCACATTTGTAGGCCATCAGCCGTAGAGTACACTCCTATCCCACAACAAATCAATCATGAGACTCATCGTTCGTGACGATGCCACTTCAGCGGCCAAATATGTTGCCAACTATATTCTCAGGAGGATTAGAGAGTTTGACCCGAGCCCATCTCGGCCATTCGTGTTAGGCCTACCGACTGGTAGTAGTCCTATTGAAGTATACAAATTGCTGGTCGAGAAATATAAAACTGGCGAGGTGTGTCTAAAAGAAATGCCTTCTCCTGAACCGGAAAGACAGCTTACGCGTCGAAAGGTCTCATTTGAGAATGTTGTGACTTTCAATATGGTATGGGCTCCTTCTCGCCATGCCCAGACCTCGGCATCGTCGTTCCTTGATATCATATTCAGACCTCTGAATTATAGGTACGGTAATAAACTAAGCATTTCGTAGGATGAATATGTTGGTCTTCCCAGAGATCATCCTCAGAGCTATCACTCTTTCATGTGGAAACACTTCTTCTCCCACGTCAATGTTCGCCCTGAGAATGTTCACATCTTAGATGGGAATGCTCTAGATCTAGAGGTGGAGTGTGCACAATACGAGGAAGCCATACAGAGGTTAGGGGGGATTGACCTATTTCTTGCTGGGATCGGAGAGGATGGTCATATTGCGTTCAATGAGCCCGGCTCGAGCTTAGCCAGCCGAACGCGAGTTAAGACGCTCGCATATGATACTATATTGGCCAACTCCCGCTTTTTCGATGACGACATCAGCCAGGTACCTCGAATGGCACTTACCGTTGGTGTACAGACTGTCTTGGACGCTCGAGAAGTCGTAGCTCTTGCACTTGGTGCTCGCAAGGCTATGGCACTGAAGCAATGCATTGAGTCAGGGGTGAATCACATGTGGACGCTCTCGGGTCTCCAGCTACATAGACACTCTATGATAGTTGCTGACGAAGATGCAACACTTGAGCTTCAAGTAAAGACCGTAAAGGTATGTTCTTCTAATTCACAGAACCCAGCGAGGACAGCTCTAATGTCTTTTTGTTTAGTACTTCAAGTCCATCGAGCAGATTGCAAAACAACAAGGATTTGAGCAGAACCTTCCAAAGGGGCTTCGAAAAGGGGGAAAAGTTCCAATCTCCAATGGTCAAGTTGTCGTGGACGAAGTGCAATCTCCGGTTGCGCTTGTACCTGTGGAGATTCAATCATACCTTCTTCGTGCTAATGCCCCAATCCTCAGCGCCCCTTCTTCGCGATCCGTTACCCCGGAGCCTTCATTGGATAACATGAAGTCCCGGCTTCGTAGCGACAATCCCTAGTTTGGCTCTTGCTCTTAAATGGTCTCCAGTAAGCTGCAAACAGGTTCCAGCAGGATTCACTTGTTGGCGTGGCCAGTTCCGAAAGATTGCAACACATTTCAGAATGCACATAGATAGAATGCTAGCGACCAAAAATCAAGAAAAAGAAAAGAAATATAGATTCGCTACGTCATGTTTCGAGATCGACTCAATTAACCCCCAGACCTTCGAACTATGACAGAGATGCATATAACTCCATCGTGCAAGTGCTGTAGATCGCAACTAGGTAACCATCTGGCCTAATCAAATACTCTTTTCGGACAGCTTCATGCAGTGGCTTGGCGTAGCGTATGAACCAGATCGTACCTTGCTGATTTGGTTGGGCGCGGCAGTTGTAGTCAACAAGGGAAAACTACAAGATCAATGACCCTTATTAGTGGCCGTCCTTATCCTGAGCTTGATCTTTAGACGTCTCGATCTCTTCAAGCTTAGAGTCCAATACATGGTCAAATACTTGAATATGTGCAGTCCTCTTGTCCTGCCACCACACAACACATATCCATACGACAAGACACACCGATACAACGACCATTGCGATAGTACCCTTTCGAAAACCCTTAATGCTATGGTTAGTGACCATTCCACGACACGACATAGAGGGTTATACTTGCCGTTGCTGCATCGGTCGTCGGGTACAAGACTATTCCCCAGAAAGAAAAGAGAACAGAAGATGCACCTAGACTGTTGTCAGAATCACCTCGATATTGTTGATCATGGTCCGCCTACCATTCATGGAATATAGCGTGATTGCCCGCGCGGCGTCGTCCCCATCACGCGACAAAATCTTGTTCGCCCAAATGAACACAACTGGTTGAATGGAGTAAGCCGTTCCGGCCAGATCTATCCGTTGTCAGCTTTTTCATCTGCTTTTCTTGGTATTTGAAGCGTGTGAGGTCTTACAGAAAGCAGTTAATTTGGCTCCAGTGTCCACCGTATGCCAGCAAAGCAAGATAATACAAGCAATAATCTGTACGCCACACGCCAAAAATCCATATGGAGCATGGACTTTGGTTGCGTCGATAGCAACGGAAGTGAGGAGAGTTAGCGTAATGCCTAAGCCACTATCTTAATCTCAAGCACTTCAGAAGTTGCGATGAATGTAACCAACCAATAGCTGTGATTCCCAGGGGAAATGTATTGTTCTGGGGAACAGTGAACTCTCCAGAGGCTCTCATCCATAGGAGCATGCATGT